GCCACACAGACCTTTAGTGTTTGAGATTAGAGCGACTCCATCAACCAGGGCCCCAGATTACCACTCTGTAACTGGACTAATAAAGTCTCTTAAATTTTAGATAGGATTTCATATATCCTGGTCTGGCTTTGACCTCACTATGTAGCCAAGGATGACTTTGAACTTCTGATCTTCCTACTTCAACCTCTCAGATACTGGGGTTTCAGGTGTGAGCCGCCACAGTCTGTTTATATGACTGTAGGGATTGAACCCAGGTCTTCATGCTTTTCGAGCAGCACTCTACCTTCGAGCTATAACCACAACCCTATGCAGCTTCTGGTTATAACCACAGCATTAGCCATCCCATTTTGATCAGCAGAGAAGGCAAGGTTTTCTGTGTAATCAGTCTCCCTGCTTGACTTCAGAATGCAGCCTTAATGAGTGACAGGCTTTGGTTTCTAGGACTAAATCCATATCTACCTCTGGACCCCACTTTCTTCATCCCCATTTCAACAATGATAGTAATGTCTCTCTGCTCAGAGTCCAGGCTAGGAGGAGGCCCACTGTTCACGCATCTCTTCACTGTCCACTCCTGCTTTGTGCCCGGATCCTCTGGTACCACGAGGCACTGGGACTTCTGAGCCTTAAGCTTTTCATTTTTAATGGAGGCTTTCTACTCAGGGAAAAACAGTTTGACACCAGTAGACAGTAAGTCCATAGACACAGAGAAGAAAATCCATGTGAACGAATAGAAACCTCTATGAGAGGCTGATCTAGGGGCCAGCAGAGACTACAGAAGACAGGCAGGAGGAAGGATCAGGTGGACCCATGTTGAGAAAGAGCCAAGAACCTATGCTTCATGCTTGGAGCCAGAGCCAAGATGTTGGGTGTGGCCAGATACTAAGGAGTTAGTGCTATTGGACAGCAGACAGGACCAAGGCAGAGAAGTTAAACAAGGAACTTGGGTGCCAGAGGCAGATATGATTCCTCTGGGAGTTTAATGAGAAATGCTGGTGGCTGTGCATGTGTGGAAGGTGCAGGTGTCCTCTAAGGGTGTGGGGCAGGAGGATGCTGGGTATTGGGCAGGGCAAGCAGTGAGCAAGGGAGAGGCAGGCAGAGCAGAGAGAGAGAGAACTGAGAGTAGACACAAGAGAGATGGAGCCACTTAGGAAGTCCTGCCTCCTAAGGCCACCCCCTTAGTGACCACAGTGACTGCTTACAGGCAAGAAGGAGACAGACACAGGGAAGACGGGCTCTGGACTGCGGGCATGAAAGGTGCTTCTGTACCCAATCGGTCCCCCTAAGTGGTTTGTTTGCCTTGCTTTTACATTTTATTTTATGTGTATGGGTGTCTTGCCGACATGTATGTCTGTATGCAGTATACATGTCTGATGCCTTGGAGGCCGGAAGAGGCACTGGATCCCTAGAACTGAAGTTGCAGATAGTTTCTAGCTGTCATGTGGGTGCTGGGAAGCAAACCCAGATCCTTTGGCAGAGTAACCAATGCTGTTAACTGCTGAGGCAGCTCTCCCAAGCCTCGGTTTGTTTAGTTTAAAGACTCATTGTCCAGAAAGTACACCCACCATGTAGCTCAGGCTATCCTACATAAACATTCACAGTATGCTGGTGCTATCTGGAACATGCCCTCTAGCTGGCTGAGGGAGTGAAGGGCAGCCCAGCTTGAGGCTACACTCCCATCCATACCGAAGAGGTGGGCAGTGTATCTGGGTGGACTTGCTGTAAGTTTTGAAAAGAAGATCTCCATAAAGATATCAGCACTAAAGAAAACACAGTTCATGACATTTTGGTCAGAATTGCTTTAAGAAATAATTCCAGGAGGCTGGGTGTAGTGATACATACAATCTTAGCGCTAGGGAGGCCAAGGCAGGAAGTTTTAGGCTAGCCTCAGCTACATAGTGGTGGGACCTTGTTTCATACAAACAACATTAAAAAAATTAGATCCAGGTGCTGGGGATGTGGCCCAGTAGTTGAGTGCTTAGCGTGTTCAAGACCTTGCTCAGGTAGGAGAAGGAAAGATGGGAGAGAGGAAGGAAGGACTAGCCGCAGAGGCTTTCAGCCCCTTGATTTCTGTCTCCTTGTTTTCTGCCCCTGGTCCTTTGTCACCATGCTGCTTGCTCTCACACCTGTCCCTTATGCTGACCCACCTCTTTTTTTTTTTTTTTTTTTTTTTTTGGTTTTTTCAAGACAGGGTTTCTCTGTGTAGCCTTGGCTGTCCTGGAACTTGCTCTGTAGACCAGGCTAGCCTCAAACTCTCGAACTCAGAGATCCGCCTGCCTCTGCCTCCCAAGTGCTGGGATTAAAGGTGTGTGCCACTACCGCCCGGCTGCTGACCCACCTCTTAATGCCAAACTTTCCCGTCTCTCCTCAAACCACTCAGATGATTGCTCCTGGGATATCTGTTCCTAAGTGACAGCCAGCGCAGGTGCCTCATGACCTGTGACCCCATGTGTTTGACAAGTTCCCCTTCAGGTTCATTATTCCTCTTCTGTTTTCCTAACACCAGCTCTGTCTCTCAAGGGGTCACTGAGCAATAGTCCTCGTCCATATCCTGCCTCTTCTCAGAAGCCCACAGCTCTGCCTTTGGAGCCCTGGGGCTGGATTTCCACAGCCATGCCCAGCTGCCTGGTTCTTTCCTACCACAGATTCCAGCAGCCTCCCCTGACTTCCCTGCACTTAACCCCTTCCTCTGGCTCACCTGGTCACTGCTGGGATCTTTCTAAACTACACCGTAGACTGCACTGCTTCCTCTTAAGTCCTCCAGCGGCTCTTGCTGATGCTGCATCTATTTGGGGGAACGCAGGCTCTGCCCAGCAGCCTGACTTCTGTTTCCTACTTCTGGAGTCCCAGGAGCTCAGACCTGAGCAGTTTCCCATGATGCCTTTGCAGGTGTGGTTGCCTCAGCCCTCATCTGTGCAGAAGGATGTGGCTTCAGCAGAGGTCAGCTTCCAGAGCACAGAGATGGTCCTCTGTCAAGGCTCAGCCAGTCCCCACCTATGGCTCCCAAGATCACTGTGGACCTTTGATCTGCCTAAAGCAAACGTATCTGTCTTGGCGGTTTGTTGTTTTTGTGCAACTTTGCAGTCTGTACACCAGAAAGGTGACCAGCTCCTGTCACACAGATTTGACGAAAGGGCTCTAGCATGGAGCAGTCTAGAGAGCAAGAGAAGGGCAAGATGGATGGTGACACAGGACCAGGGGCAAAGAGCAGAGAAACAGGAATTGAGCAAACAAAAGCCCTTATTGAATTCCCTCCCAGCCCCCACTTCCTGGCTTCCCTCCTTTCCTGCTTTTCTGACTGGAGGCTTGAGCTCTGTCAGCACGTCCTATACTTTTAAGCAAGGGGTGTCTGGTGGGTTGTTTCTCAGGACCAAGGACCTTGCCCACAAGGCTTTCTTCCATTGCGCCCAGAGAAAGAAAGCACTGTTTTCTAATTCTCAGGCCTGATGAGGAGCAAGGACAGTGCCCCCACCACTGCCCACAGACCTTCAGTGTTTAATTCCATGATCTGCTCCTAGCTGTGTGGCCAGTAGGAAAGTAACAGGAACCCTGCTACCTGTCTGACAGGTGGCAACCCTGTGCACCCTGAACCTTGATCCATGGCCAGAATGACCTCAGCTCCTTCAAGTCCACCTGCAGCCACTCAGGACCTCAGAGTTCTTTCCCTTCCCTTCCTTTCTGTCTGTATGTTGAGATGGGGCACAGCCAAGAACTAGGACACGGAAAAGACCTGAAGGAGACTGGAAATGATCAGAGAAAGCAGGAATAATTGATGGGCCTTTTGGGGCCGTGGGAGTAGTTGTCAAGCACCTTCAGAGAATGTGTTCTTATCACATTTAGTACCTCAGTCACCCCAAGTGGGTACAGCTGACCCCACTGTACAGATGAAGAAACTGATTCAGAGAAATAAATGGCAGTTTCTGAGAGGTAGCAGCTGAATCATTTGACCCCAATTTCCCTGCTCTCTGCTTTTCTCACAAAGGCCGAGTATAAATGATAAGTAAACATCTTCACACCCACTCAGTGCTGATGACCTTACATCCAGCCTGAGTCCCAGGGAAGAATAGCATCGTTCCTAACCTGTCTGCCTTCTCCTCCCTATCTGCACAGGATAAGATCCCTGCTTTGTTTTCTTCTCCTAAAGGTTCCGTCCATCACCGACTGGGCCCCTGGTGTAGTCTTCAGTGAGCTCTCTCCCTTCCTGTTGGTCCTGGCTTTATCAGGTCCACTTACATTTTTTCATACAGTCCCCAATACCTGGGACCCTAAATCTCCTTGCTCCTGGCCTAGTGACCTTGGCAGCCCAGAAAACACTTACTCAGTATGTCAGTATTTGGGAAGAGTTCTTATGGTGATCTTGCTGCTTGACCCTTGGCCTGAGGCTCTTGACTCTAGGATTCCTTTGGGCTCCTAGTGTCCACTTTTATCCCTGGATTCTGAGTGCTCAGTGGTTTGATTCTTTCTTTGGTACGAATTCAAGAGAATGAGTCAACTTTAACGCTTCTGATAAATATTGCCAAACTGTTTTCTACCAGTGTCAGTTCACAGATTGTTTGAGAAGGATTATTTCACAATGCCCTTACCAATTCTGGGTTTTAGAGTTAAAAAGCCTTGTTATTTAATAGTTTGGTGGACAGTGATGTCTGGTTACATTGTTCAGAGTACTTGCTTCTCTCCCCTCAAGTGTTTTTCTTCACACTTTCTCCACACATGAAGAGGGGAGCCCTGAACAGATTCTTACCCTAGAGCATCAACTTCAAACTTTTTAAGGGAACAACAGAGGTTTTTAAAATGATTTCACCTAGCACCTCTTTATATAAAAATATTATCTCATAACCTATGCCAAGCATGATCACCAGAAGCTCCAGGTCAGTCTGGGCTCCATACTGAGACCCTATCTAAAAACCCAGAACTAACAGAACAAGCAGTAACCCAAAGCAAGACAAGAGCCCTTGAGGCGTGTTCTAGACTCCACTTCCTGGAGTTCCGGAAGTCTGTCTTACCTGAGGAGGGCTCACTTGGGCCTTGTGTCCTTGCCTCTGGAGACAAGAGGTCCAGGCAATCAGGACCTGAAGGGGGATGAGCCATTCACAGTGGTGACTGGAGCAAAACAGCCACACAGGTGAGCTTGGTACAAAGACCTCACCTGGAGGTGCTACCACGCCCTCACTGTCGCCAGGGCTTGGGTGTGAGGTCTGACTATCCTAGCAGAAGTGCAGCCAGAGGGGATGAGGGCGGGGTTTATGCAACAGAAAGTGAGGAAGATTGACAGGTGGGAAGGGCTCCAAGTGAGATGGATAACCCTTCCACGTGGGCTGCTGCACCCTGGCAGGCCCTCGGTGTGCAGGCTGAAAGGGGTGCGGCAAAGAGGCAAATTCAGAGCCCTGCTGTGGGCTGGGATTTGATCTGGTAGGTGAAACCATAACAATCAGGGCCCTCTCTGGAAGCTTTGTGTAATCTCTGCCTACCACAGATCTAAGGTACAGAGGTGGCAGGGAGCAGGAGAGTTCACTGAGGCCAAACTTGATCAGGAAAGGGTTGGTGGCCACCTTGGCTGCATTTCAGGAAGAAAGAAGAGTTGTGAGGAAAAACCAGAGGGATCTGTAGCAGTTGAAAGAGAAAGGTGGACACACCAGTGGAAGGAAGGAAGGCTGAGTGGGCACACCACTTTGGAGGGTACAATTGGGAGGGTATTCTGTGAGTGGAGGTCTTTGGACATAATGCTGAAGTCTACCTATACCACCTCAGCCTTCTTAGCCCACGGACCATGGCCCTGTGTCCGTTCTCTTTTTATAGCTCTGGCTCTTGACCCTCTAGCTCCTCCTGGGCCTCATGTGAGGGCCGCACCCCCGAATCACTGGCCAATCCTTGGCTGTCACCATGTATGTCTTGATTGCAGTCTATCAAGCTCATCCTGTATCCAACAGCAAGAAAAGCTCTCCCTTTGTCTTCCTCCTTCTCCACCGCCACTGTTCTGCACTGTCTTGAGCCCTTGTATCATCCACACAACCTGAGAAGGGTTACCACATTCCTTACAGACCCCCGTCATTGAATAAATCTGAAATCTGAGTCTGACTTCATCTTTTCTTGGAAGCACTGGTAGAAATGTCTTATAGCTTAGCTTCCCCTGGTTAAGATATAAGCTCCAGGGAAAACCTGGTTCTTTTCCTGCTATCTGTCCAGCTGGTGAAGGTCTTGAGAAAGTCTCTTAACCTTTGAGCCTCCAGCAGCCCTCCCCTGGCACACTGAGGGATGATGCAGGGTCTCGACACTATGACTAGCATCAAAGGCACATCACTATTTGTCCATTCCAGAACAGAGTGGGAAGAAGGAAGCCCATAGTTCCAGGTTCTATTCAAGGTGACTCTGGAGGCCCTAGTTCCATGTGGTACCCTGGCCTTTTCTGTCAGAGAGAAGATCCTGCCCCACCCCTATCCTCAGGACTCCAGCCCAGTGGAAACTGAAAGGTTATCTTGCTGACCTGGCCTCTTGGAGAAGACCCTGAATCCTTGGAATCCTGCCTTCTTACTCTTGACAGGTGAGTGATTCAAGAACACAGGCTGAAAGGAGACAGGCCCCACCCCACCCACGTGAGCCTGTGTGAGTGTGAGCCTCTGCTGCCCTTTGGGCAGTCTTTCCCAAGACATCAAGGCAGTCAGGACCTGAAAGGAGATGAGCAAACCACAGTGGTGACCAAAACAATCTCTGGAACTCAAGACAGCCACAGTGGGAGGAGCTCTCTCCTGTCTCTCAGTACTATGTCCGTCAGGCAGTCTTTGACCTCCTACAATTTACCAAATTGTCTCCCACCAACTACATGGCTCCCTCACTCTCAAAATTTCCTGCACATATTTTCCAAGTAGAACTAAATGACAAGAACTGGTTCTAAGGAGGGATTTCTGAAGGGAAATGAAATCTTGGTAACCTTGACATTTACAGACCCCCTTTTCAAAGAAAAGAAACTCTATGAGATAATTGGTATTCTGAGACAGTCCTTATTTTGAAATGCATTCTGCCCTGTCCATTCATAAACTACACCCTTTCTTCCTCTTTGAAAATAGGGTCATATCAAGTCAGGTAATAGAAATGGGAACAATCCAATCAGAGCCTCCCTCTGCCAACTGTCTCCCGATATCTCCCAGGTAGGGGTAGAATCAGTTCTTGCCCCAACCCCTCAGCGCCATCGTTTAGTACACACCGGTTGGAAATGGCATCCGTTGGAAGTGGTGAAACAGAAGGACCTTTCATCCCTGGGTGAGCGTAGCAGGCTGCATTGCTCTCCCGGTTCTGGAAGCTGGCTGTGTCTGGCTGGGAGTCAGGGCCTCTAGCTTAAATAGGCGGTGGTAGCAGGGCAGGGCAGGCCTGGTGGGGGGGGCATGGAAAGAGGACCATTTACCCAGCACAGCAAAACAGTGGCTGAGGAGCCAGCAGTGGTCTAGACATGCGCCTGCCTGCCTGTCCACCAGGTGGCCTGGAGCCCACAGGCCCTTAGACCACAGACCAGCACCTGAGGTGACCCTTGATGGATATGTAGCTCCAAGTGAGACTACGGTCCCTGGAGGCTCAACTGCGGTCAGGTTCCTGGATGCCTCTGCCTCTCCTGGATAACAAAACCAACTGGAGTTGAATGGGCTGTGCCCCAGAACCACGAGCAGCTCAGGCAGGGTACTTCTCCAAGTGTCAGTTTGTACTTTTTTGAAACAAAGGTAACTCTAACTTCATGCCTGCAGAAATGATGCCCTCAGCACCAAGGAGAAAGGCAAGCAAAGGCAGCCTCTGTGTGTGTGTGTGTGTGTGTGTGCGTGCGTGCGTGCGTATGTGTGTGTGTGTGTGTGTGTGTGTATTGTTTGAGGCTGTGGGGGCTGAGCATACAGAAGTGCCCAGAGTAACTGCTGGAAAACTGCTAGAGAGGAACACCCCTTCACGCCTCAGCAGTGTCTAAAGAACTCTGTGGGGAACTGAGTGTCCACTTGGTTGATTCAGTTTGATCTTCTGGTGAGTTGAGGCGGTACCCCTACTGCAGTGAGTGGAGGCTAGACCATCAGCTAGCAGGGAATTAAGACAAAGCAGTAGTTCATTTGTTATTTTATGCTGGTAAAATTTCTACCTTTAAAAGCACAAGTAAATTTGTTAATGAATAATTGGAGTCATATATAAGAACTCTTCCTTGACAGGAAAAAACAGAGAGTTTTCAATTTGAGTTAGAAAATATTAACTTGTCATTTCCAAAGAAGCAGCAGCTCAGAGGTCCTGGGTTTCTTAATGAAATCAGGAAAATAAATCAGCTTTGCCGTAAAGTACTGAAGGAGAAGCTGAGGCTACATTACACACAAACTTATCTGCTCATCACTAACCATCCTGGGCATTTGGGGCTGGGGCCCTTCAGGTGCTTGTACAGCATCCATGGAGAGAATATGTATTTCAAAGCTCAGTATGGGTTCAGGTCTGACTCCGAGTAACACTGGACCTTCACTTAACCTCTTTGGGACACCCTTGGGCTTCTATCACTTTACAGGGTTGTTGGAATGCAGAAAGATGATATATTAGAAATGCTTGATAGATATCCAGTGATCTATTGTCTATTGTGGGAAGAATTCCCCCTGGCCGGGGGGGGGGGGGCGATGTGGGCAGGAAGGCCAATGTGACAACAGAACAAAGAGTGGTGTCCCTCTCCCTAAGTATATAAGTTGAAGTCATAGCTCTCCAGTGTGACTATAACTGAAGACAGGGCTTGTAAGGAAGTAATTAGAGTTAAATGAGATCATAAGGGTAGGGTCCTGATCTGATAAGATTAGTGTTTCTTCTCTCTCTCTCTCTCTCTCTCTCTCTCTCTCTCTCTCTCTCTCTCTCTCTCTCTCCCCTCTCTCTCTCTCTCTCTCTTTCTTACTCTCTTTCTCCTTTCCTCCTCTCTCTTTCTGTCTCTCTTCCTTCTTTCCTTCACAAACTACACCCTTTCTTCTTTCCTTTCATTTTTTTCCCCCAAAACATAATTTCTCATTGTAGAGCCCTGACTGTCCTGGAACTCTCTGTAATCCAGGCTGGCCTCACAGAGACCCACCTGCCTCTGTCTCCCAAGTGCTGGGATTAAAGGCATGTACCACCACCCAGCAAGATTAGTGTTTCTACTGCCAAATATTCACAAATGAAGGCCTATGGGGAATCACAGAGAAGCCACCCAGTCTGTGGTACCTTCATGGCAAGGGAAGCAGACTGATCCCAATGGGTGGGATTAAGGGGTGACCTGCTGGGTACCTAGGAAGACATTCTGAGGTTTCCCACTTCAGGCAACTGTTGCAGTTGTTCCTCACCCAGGGATTGGGTAAGCATTGTACAGCATTTATGTGTGTGCCAGGTGAGACTCAGAGCTGAGGTCTTGGCTGGAACAGAAATTGGGGATTATTCGAGTATAGATGAAGTCTTTGGAGTGACAGCATTTTATCAGATCATTCATTCTTTCTTCTTTAGTTGGCTTATTCTAATTCTAATTCTTGTTACATAAGATGGCTTTTGTCCTTTACACCTTTATAAAGACAGACAGCCACCTTGGCTTTAAAAAGCCTTCACTGTGTACTAATCCATCCCAGTCCCTCTCCATGACTCTCTTCTTCTTACTTTACAGATCTGATCTTGTTTAGGACCCTGAGTTAAAACCCACATGTTAGAATCACCCTGTCCCCTGAGCCCATTTTTTCTTCAGTATCTGTGATGTAAACTCTCTTGTCACTTTATCCAGTTTCAAAAAAGCTTCCTTCATTTCAACTTAATGGATAATTTACAATTCAAGATTTTAGCTAGCACATGCTCATTCCTTCTCACAGTTACACTTGCAAGGCACCATGGGCGGTCTTTAGCTCTCTCATGTGGAGGCGTGTTGGTTACTCCCTTTACCCAAAGCTTCTCCTTACTGAAGGCTGCATCCCTTGGGTTCTTTGCTCCTGTTTCTATGGTTTGGGTTTGATGTGTGCCTTCACCCAGCACCCCCGACTCCTTCGTTCTACTGTCAGTTTTCTGCCGATCACTCCTTCCTTCCATGTGTTCTCGGTTCCTTTATGTATCCACATGGAGATGGCAGCCATTGGTTTTTTCATATGTTCATCGTTCTGCTTTTTTTTTTTTCAATTTGGACTTTTTAAGTTATTACCAAGTTCTTTGTATTTGTTCCTCAGATCTTCGAGA